CAATATGACTTTCGTGACGTCATGTGAAAACGCTCTATACCTTTTGTCTACAATCACGGACAAAAGTCTAGGGACACTTTTGCATTTCCGGGGCCTTTTTTCAATTCACACAAGCCTAAGCCCTCCCCTCACCCCACAAACAATTTTGGACGCGTGTATCCATAATTTTTTCCGAGTTTCAGCTTTGTATAGGGTGGGGGGAGGGAGAACTGCAAGAAAATTTTGAAAAGGATGCACTGTTTTAAGAGGGCACCAAGATATGACAGAAAAAATATGAATATTGCAGTACTGTCCCAAGGACTTTTGTCCAGGATTATAGGTTTTTTTGTCACAAGCCATAGCAGAAACCCTACCGGGGAGGGCCCCGTGGGGGAGTCCCGTGTCGGTTGGCTGAATTTTAAAATGTCCCCTTTCGGAGCTTAGTTGATGCTTTGCTCGGCGTGGGAAATTGAACGAAAAAAGTGTGCCTTTGTTGGATTTTGGATACAAGTGTGTCATAAGAAAGGCCTACTGTTTCACAACTGATAGTTATCGTTTCGCTTTTTTCCTGGTATTTAAATGTGTTGACAAAGTATGTCAAGCTACCTTTCTTTGTCGATTGTTCTCAGTTTTTACTTAACTGTGGAAATCTTGACAAGGCGTTTTTCTAATCAACCGCTTGTAGTTCCAGTTGAGTTTGAAAATTTTTATGTATTTCTACAATCTGTAAGATGTGTTGTCTGTTTTCTAAATGGAGATTTACGGAAGAGGTACTAATTTTTCAAAAAGAATAGTAAGTTAAAAGGCAAGGGGTAAACCTTGGGTGGATCATTCCCATGTAAAAGCAGGAGCCATAATCGGGGTAAGAGACCGCTGCTAGTACTTTTTCCTGTTATGGGGTTGGTTCCGTCGAATAGCCAAATGTGCTTTTTTTAGCACAAATAATTGTGCCCCCTCTCCGGGCAGATGGTCCAGGTTCAGTCCTCTACTAAGCTATTTCTTGTTTGTTTTGGTTTTGTTCTTAGTTAAATTTTTCCTCTTGGCTTAATTTCCTTTATTGTTACTGCTAGCCAATTACGGCCTCGCGGGGTTTTAGCGACAGACGTACTTCTAGTAAAATGCCCCCCCCCCCCCGGGGGATAAAATGTTTATTTAACATCACAGGGAGCCCACACAATCTGTGTGTGGCTGATTGTTATTTTATAGCAAATGTACTGGATTTACCGTTTGCTTGACCTATTGTGACATATCGCTAAGTATGTATAATAAATCAAGCGATTTTGAAGGATTTTGAGTTCGTCGTTTACTGAAGGAAAAGGACGGAATCCATTTTTTATCAACGGCTCCAGCGCCAGAGCGATTTTCCCCAAGAAAATCGCATTGCTCCGCTTTCAAACTTTGCAGGGTAAAGGTCAAAAGATTCACGCTTCTTCTCGTACCTTCCGATCGAAAATCCATCCAAAAGGCCCGGAGCTAGCCCTCGAAGAAAATTAAAATCCCACAGTTTTTGAAAGGTCAAAATGCGTAGCAAGATTCATACGTTCCAGTCAAAAACCCTCCCGCTGATTGCCTCTTTTTGGTTGGATGTCGTTAACCAAATGGTTAAACAGTAACTGACTTAAAGCAAACTTGGTAAGCGATTATTGTATAACGACAATCCAAAAAGAGGCAATCAGCGGGATGGTTTCTGACTTGCACTTATGAACCGCGTGTATCCCGCTCTTGCGGTCTCCTACCCCGATTGTGGATCCTGATAAAACAATATTCAGGACTTACCCCTCTGCCTTCCTCGGCCTAAATTTCCTTCTTTCTCAGCAGAAACATGAAGCACATGCTCTTATTGGGTGTCATTTTTACTGCCAGCGCGGCAAATGCGTTGTATCTCGCTGATTGCGACCAATACGTCAATTGCGTTTGCCGAGCAGATCGAAAAGGCCAACTTAAGTTGGACAATGGGAAACTATTTGTCTGTACCGGAAGTAGATGGAATCTATATGAAGAGTATGGGGACGAGTCTCATCCGGGTTTCTCCTGCAAAGATTTTAAGGATCGCAAAGGAGAAGAAAGCGCAAATGGGATCTACTGGATGAGTTAACTTGTCAGCGTTGTGGTTAATCTTGTACAGTAAAAAGCCTTCCAGAAAGTGCGATTTAGAGTTCAGATAACCGGAGCGAGGGTGAAAAATTGACGAGGAAAGAAGTACGATTTTTCCTCTCGTTTTCCACGCGTACAATTTAACTCCCTCCTCACCATCTAAACGCTGCGCTCTACTAACTGAACGCCTTGAACAGGCTACCTTTCAGATCTCAACTATGTTCTCGCTGTTTAAAACTTTTCTTTCAGAGAATGTCCAAGAGGCAGATATCTTGGTAGTCTACGTGCGATGACTGAGCCAGCAAACATGCATGTCTGTTACTGAGGAAGAATTCAGTTGGAGGCTGTAGTAAATAATTCAGATAGTTTTAGGCAAAAAGTTCAATCGCGCCTCGATTATTAAAAGTTAACAAGACGCTGTGGGAGCATATATTTGAACATGCCTTATTGCAGCTAAAGAACTGTCATCATATCTTATCAAAGAAGACAAATCCTTTACTCCAGCTGTTTGCTGAACCACACAGCTTATACAGTATGTCTCAATCTTCAACAAAAATAGTGTCATTTCATGACACTGTTTGAAAATATGTACATCTTCAATATGCAGACATGCTTGGAGCCAATTGCAACATAGGACATAAGTGGTTACAGCCGGACAGTAAGGTTTATCTCAGTTCCACTGGTACTGACAGATGTGTTTTCACACCCATCACACTGTACAGTGTATTCCGGTTAGTAACAAGGGCAAATAAAATTCCTTTATAAGTCCAGTATCCACAAAGATTAATAAGAGAGTAACACATTGCATAAACTGCTATAGGGCATCACTGTTTACAGGAACATTGGTATATAACTATTAAAATTTGATATACTACAATGTTCAATATTGCTTGAAAAAAGATGAGGTTCGAAGGTGGCATGTACTGAGTCCGAAAATATTGTACTAATTTATGCAAGGATGGTATTTCCAACAATACACCTGTCCCTTCACTATGACTGTTATGATGCAAATCTCTAGCATGAGAATCAAATACATTATATCCCCCAGCCTCAATGCTGTGGGTACCAACACCAATAATTGCCACCGTTAAAATGAATGAGTTGTAGTTCAGTGCCAAGAGCGTTTCAAATGCAGTACCCTGTAAGTATAACTGTCACCGTATTCAAGGTGGAAAAATTGCTCAAACACGGTATGACACGGTAACCATTCCTGGCAATTCTGTTAACATTAACATAGATTGTCTAGCAAGCAGTGACAGACTAGAATATAATTGAATACCAACCATCATTATTTGAGTCATATCATCAACCGAAATAATCTTTGTTATCTTACTGTAAATTAAAGCCCACAGTATGGACAGTATGGAGCATTAATTGTTTTTGTAGCATCTACATAAACTGAAGGGTCCTGGATTCTTCTCTATATCAGTAAAAAGCTGAAATTGGCCAAAATTAACCCGGTGATTCAGACAGTTGTAAGCACTATAAAATGGTTAATTGCATGTACAGAGAGGCAAATTCTTACTTCAAAGCCTATTTGATATCTCATTCCACCTAAATCGCCTGTGCTTTGATGCTTAGACGACAGATACACCTTCCCTCGTTTACGAACTACTTTTGGAGTTGCCCATTAATTAAAAACCTCACACTGTTACAGTTACTTCAGATCTGCACCTGTTTAAGTGTAAACCTTTTCTATTTTTAACGTAACAATCAATTTCACACGACAATGGTGTATTTTTCCGAATACTCTTTCATACAAAAAGTGTCACTTTCCGTGTTTTCTGTAACAAAGATTTTAATTTGTTCATCGGTAGTCTGCTAGGTGCATGACGCTAACCGGTCAGATCGTTCCATAAAATAGTCAGTTCGTTCCACAAAAAAGTCAGTTCGTTCCACTTATGAAAAGTCAAATTTGTTGAGTGAACTTTATCAAGAAGAAAAACGTTTCGTTCATACCACAAGCTGATAAAATAATAATCGATCCAAAGTCGATTCGACCATCCTAAATCGTTTGAAAACAAACAAGAGACGATTTCAACCAGCCTCGGGCTTTAACATTTAAACAGGGGCACCCAACGACAATTTTTGGAAAATATCTGTTCGGAAGACAATTTGAGATCTAGAGTTTTCGGAACATTTGCTGTTAAATTTCTTGCTTGTCTGCCTCTCCTAGGATTTTCGAACCCCCAAAAGATGGTATAATCGCCCATTTTTAACGGATTTTCATCCTAAAAGGGTAACCTAGAATTTTCGGGAGCATTTTTCTGGCTGAAATTTTCGAAAAGGTAAGTTTTGATCCCTACAATTTTCGGATCACTAGACTTTCAGCTAGGAAATCCGAACAGATGAACAATTTTTAGGGGATAAAATATCTACTGTTTAAATACTAAAATACGTTCAACAATGCTATTTTTAAGTGGTTTTGAACTATATTCTCGTTGGGTGCCCCTGATTTAAACCGCCGCTTTGAGAGTTTTTGAGCTAGAGTCGATCGATGGTTTTGAAAGATAAAGCACAACAAGTAAAAGCTATGCCGTTTTGAAGGTACAGTATTTCGAAGCGCTCGTAACCTAAATATTTCTTTTCAGCGCCCAATTTATGCAAATTTTGAAAACAACGCGAGTTTCGAATTACAATCTCGATTTTATGGTAATTTATCTTGCCGAAAATATAATTGACTAACCTGATTTAAACCAATGGAACTGCAAGTTCTGTCATAAATAAATTTTCTACGACGAGATCTCAATTCAACCTCTTTTATTTCCTCCGTAACACAATTTTCCTTCAGTACAACTAGCTCATTACCTTCTCTTGTCGTCACCTCGCAGCCATCAATACACTCTAACACAAAACTTGCTGATAATGCAAAATCCCGACGCACAGCATCGTACATGTACCGCGTCACAATATAGGTGGTTTTCACGTTACGTCATCATCGCCATGCTGGTGGACGGTAAACAAAAGATCGCTAAGTAGCTCGCTTTGTCTGTCCACCAGCATTTGTTCATGTCACCATTGTTATTTGTGTCTCCCGAGATTGCTTGAAAACCACCTATACACAATAAGATGAAAAAACACAACACGTAATACAAAAAAAAGTACATTAACCGTCACCCTGCTAAACAAAATTGAAATAATAAAAAGAATTGTTGCTGTTATCACAGTAGTTCCAAGAGAAGCCTCAGTCCCTTTTGGTTTCAATTGTTGACAATCGTCTCTTCCTTCATCGGAACAGATTTTTATCACAGGTAACTCGTTGTGTTCCGCAATGCAAAAATCAAAATCACTATTGTCACACTGATAACCAGCTACACAAATCTTGCGACTCTCAGACTTGTTAGATGAAAAAACACAACACGCAATACAATGAATGGAAGTCCTGTCTTCTAACCAGCCAAATCTGACCTTGCTTATATGTTCTATCACTGATATTATTTGAGATTTTATTCCTCTCTTTACTGCTGCCAATTATTTCAATATGACGGTGTCCAACAAGAAAGCTCTTGCTACTTTGGACACCGTACACAAATGAACTTAATATCTTTTAGTTAATTATTATTTGTAGCTACTTTATTTTCCTACTATGTACACTTATGTAAATATCTTGTATAGTGTGAATAAAGAATTGAATTGAATTGAATGTTAAACATTCCTCTGTTCAAACTCTTATCCATTTTACACGTACACTCCTGACATTCTGATTTGTTATTACGTCTATGGGGTACATGAGTCTTTGATGTCATTGAATGTCTTGATTATTTCCTTTGTTTTTCTTTGAGTTAGCGGACCAGCCCATTCCGAAAACACTCAGTGTTATTTTTTAGTGTGGGCCTACCGCGAACAGTGTGTGCATGTGTAAGTTTAACCCGGGATAACATGGGGCGCTTTCCATTTAGGAAAAAAAACCGGAAATTTCGGTGGTAGCAAAAGTGGAATTTCCGATTGGTAAAAAGTTGTTCCATTTGGTCGTAATCCCGGGTACGTGGCGGTGCCCGACCGTGGACCTGGAACTGGTACAAACTACGAGAAACGTAAATGGAACACGAGATTCCGTTCGGAAATTCCAACCGGAAAAACGGGACTACCTTTTTAGATTTTCCACTTTTTCTGGGAATTTTCCAGTGGGACGAACCGACGAAACGTGTTCCATTTACCGCCGAACCGGAAATTCCGGAAATTTTGAGTAAATGGAAAGCGCCCATGATTGCAACGGGTTCAAAAGGTCATTTTTTGTGATTTGTGATTGGTGGATTTCGATCCGTTTTGTGAGTTTCTGTGTTTCAAGGTTCGTTGGTTGTGATCTTATTGTGACCAAAACCTGACGTCAATATTCCAAATATTTTTTATAGATTTCATCCCTGGACTTCAGACTTCCAAATTTCGATGAGGCAAAAATACTGAAGATTCGGATTGACTTTTGAGATCGTAAAAGTGCGATAAAGTGCTGTGTGCTAGCAGAGCTTTCTTTCCCACATGCCTCTCCTTAGCTTGTACAAGACGTTCGCATGGGAGACATTCGCCTCGCTTCGCTTGTTACTTGCCTTGTTTACGTTAGCACGTATTGCGTGCCTATTGCACATTTGCGTCAATACAAACCGTTCCATTACTCTATTTGGGCCACGCCCAAATAATAAAAGTTAAGCAATAGAGAAAGAAGAAGCAACTATATACGCTACTCGTATAAGAAGGTTAAATTAGAGTTCGGATTTATAACAATTTAGAATATTTTCAATATAAGACGAACTAAGATTTATGATGTTTTCATCGCACATAGAAATGATATAGAGTGATTACATTTCAACAAGTACTAGAATTCATCCCCAACTGAAAAAGACTTCAACATACCGTAGTTACATTTTTTTAGATAATAGATAATATTTTTAACCAGAAGTGTCTCAAATCCGATCTGTAGGATACTGTCAATATTTTTAAAAATCATTGAGAAAATATATTTTTTGTTACTGCGAAAGTCTCTGAAACCGAAATTCTAGTCGGATCGACCCAAGATAATAATTCACTGTTGTGCGACCCCTTTTATCGAGTTAAGGAGAATTCTTTACTAATAGGCACGATAATTTCAGCTTTGCCGCTGACTTTCCAGGAGCAAAAGTACAAGAAATTAATACACAGGCTCCGCTAGTGTCGACAGCTAGCTTCCTTAGAACTAGTCACGACCTGTTTATGAGCCGACTAGCTGTTATTGCGAAATAAACCAAAAACTTTCATGTGCAGAGCGCGGATTAATTCAGTTCCGTATTTCCGGTAGCCTGTGTACAAACCCCCCTCCCCTCAGCAAAAAACCTTCTTCGATTCGGTTCAAAAGATGTCATTTTCCATACCCGTTTTCAGAGCAGACCTCTAAAATCCATACCCGTTTTCAGACCTGGCCTTCAAGGCAGAAAGTGTGTTATATTAAAGCGCAAACAAAAAAATTCTTCGAATCCATTTCGAATTCGCATATTTCTCTTTCTTTCTTCTTACACTCCCTTAGTTCCCTCGAAAACCATACCCGTTTTGAGACCAAAACAGCGCAAAACCCTATCCGATGGGGCGGCACTTACCTATTATAGCTTATATAAGAAAGTACCCCCCCCCCCCGGGGGGGGTTTAACAAGTATTCTTAGTTTACTAAGGACGTTAGTGTTAGGTTCATTCGCTGAAAATGTTGCCCCTTCAGCGACTGATTAACAAAAACTGTCCAAATGTGCTTGGTCCACTACTTCAAGAGAAATGCCGTTTATTAGGACGTGAGTCAGATAACGATACAATTCTCCTGACATAGTAAGTAAGATTAGTACGATTAACGTGCACGTATTTTACTTCGCAGCTTGTTCAGACGATGAATCAGTAAAAGCTTCAAGGTCCCTGGCGTACCAAGGTATTATACCATCGCCTGATGCTTCTTAAGTGGCTTCGTACAAGTTGTAAAGTAGAATGCAACTCTCCAAAAGAAGGAGTCGATCTCAATCTTGTAATGCCACCCGACTCTGTGGACTGGGAGAACATATTTAAAGTTGTTTTGATCCCCAAAAACGTGTTGGACGACGACGCGGACATCGCAGTCAAAATGAAAGTGGGAGTCATATTACCTGAGCCTAAAAAACCTCCCGATCCTATGTCCTATATGATCTCCGATGGAGATTAATCTATTGGAGTACAACTGCTAGACACAAACCACGACTACACTACGAAGGGTCCCTACAAACCAGTGGAGGGTGAATCCCAAAAGAGAAAGTTAAAAGTGGATACGTCTGATGACTACAGTAACGTCTTAGTTTCCACCACAGTCCAAAAGAATCCCGATCAGTTTAAGATGACGTTCAAACCATCCGAGACGTTTGGGTCGGCGTATTGTGCCATAGATGATGGTCACATGATTGTCGCACAATATGGCGACACCTTAAATCTCAGTAAGGGATTGACGTTTGAGCTGTATCGCTACCAAACAGAAAGGTACACAATTAACTACATTGAGATAGCTGTGTACCTGGACTCAAAGCCTGTTTAAGCATCTTAGAACTGACCGAGTATTTCCTGTTTGACTAGCCCGAACGTTGAAGGCATGCTTTTTTTAATCGATAATTAGTTTCGCCATTTTACTTCTGTATTTTTTTTTTAGTTTTAATGATCTAAGAGTACAATACATTAACGCGTAATAGTCGTGGTGGCGGATCTAGGGGACGGGCCCGGAGGCCCGGGCCCCCCTTATTTTTAGACCAAACTGAGGCCTGAAGGGCCGAAAAAAATGTTTTTGAGACCGGGCTCCCCCCCTTATCTCAGGGTCTGGATGAGCCCCCTTATCTGAAGGTTTGGATCCGCCACTGGAAATAGAGCTAATGCAACACTTACTCAAGACATTTTTCCATCACTTTAATTTATAGACAATATTACCCACACTAACCAGCAATAATAGAGAGGTTTATAAACTGAGTGGCTGGCGTCACGCCGTCTAATGTCTCAGTTGATTATGTTTAATTTCACTAAGTGGGACTTTAGAAGAAATTGAGCCCTGATTTGATTTACGGGTTCAACTGAATCCGTTTTATAGGTGTTTTAAGTAAGGCCGCGGGTACTCGGTGCTAGGGTAATTTTACGTTTTTCTTTTTCAGTATGTCAGTTGTTCGAATTTTCCTTTGAAGTTTCAAGTACATGTACTCGCTTTGAACTTGTTTCGTTTGCCTTGATACACCTAAATAACCTTTTAAAGGCTCATTTGAATATATGCTTGCATGCAGTAATTAATAAGCCTCGCAAAGCAAAAAGCTTGACTTCAGTGTTGAATTGGTGATAAACTATTTTTTTGCCTGAAGATTATGGTGCACAGTGCAGTTTCCCTTTGCTGAATTTCTTTTTTTAGATGTTTCTTAGACGGCAAGGTATGAATGCATTCACTGAAATATGAATAAAGTCTCGCTTTTTTTTTCTTCTACAAAGAGTGTTTTTTCTGCAAAAGAGGGATGAGACTCTAATACTAAATACCTTTATCCAAATGGTAACATACATTCAAACTAAGGAATCAAGAAACAAACATGAAAAGCCACAAATTGTTAGTTAATCGAAATAAGTCTCAGTTAATGATATGAACTCCAACTTTAATTTAAATTCTGCCGTTGTGGCTAATAAAGGCTTGCCTAAACTTTTTACTCGTCTTCCTGTAAAAATAACGTGCACTTAAGAATAGCAATATTTTGATGGTCATTACATATCTTCTCGGGCAATAGTGATTACCAGCCGCCTTTTGCAGCAGCTCTCCATACATTCACCCCTACTAGTACATATCAACTAACTGAATCCGTGAAGGCGAATCAGTGAGTCGGCATGCGGCACCTCAGGGACTCCCCCCTTCAGGGCTGGTGCACGTCAAGGCACCTCTCGAATTGTACCAGTGGCGCATTTAGGGGAGGGGCTTGGGGGAGCCCGCCCCCCCCCCCTTATTTTTAGACCAAACTGAGGCCAGAGGGGCCGAAAAAACTTTTTTGGAAGACCGCTTCCCCCCCCCTTTTCTAAGGGTCTGAATGACCGGCCTCTCGCTTATCGCAAGGTCTTGATCCGCCACTGTGTACCTTTACTCCATACAAACCCTGTAATTTTTACTGCAGGATTCGTATTGTGGTACTACCGCTGAGCTCCGCTGAGAGTCCTGAGAGTGGAACATCTTTCAAGAGCCTTCAGGCTTCTCGGTCAGTGGATAATCTATTACCCACGATTCCAAGAAGCATCCCGGAAGTACTTCCGGTTGTTTGTTGCTGGTGGTGTTTCTCGCTCGTCGATTTCTGATCATTTCTCTTTTTCTCGGCCAAAATGCGCCTAAAAAGATGTAAATATCAAGAGTGACCCTATCAGTGGCAGCATGGACAGTGGAGTTAACGATCAACAGCACCGAGAGAGGTAAGGGATGTCGTTCTTATGCACGCGAAAGAAATTGGCTGATAAAAATTTTTGCGCGAAGGATGATTGATGCTAGCACTGTTGATCACTGTTATATTTAGTAAAAGTGCGTCTTTTCGTTACTTAGGCAAACGGTTGTAGAGGTTGTCATATGAGCAATATTTTATGAAAACAGGCGGTGACTGTAACTGTAAATTTTAACTTTAATTGCAAGTTAACAGTTCGGCAATGCAGTAACACGGCGTTTGAAACAGGCCTAAGATACTGGGGAGTAAGTTCCTCCACTGTGAAATGTCTAATAAGTCGCCATATATTACACACCGGTAAAAAATAATCTTGAGTTCTTGTACGAGTTTTACCTCATCCGTCGAGTCAGATAAATAATGTGAAGAACATTGTTCATCAACGCTCACCCTGTTTAGGACAAAAAATGCTAAACTACATACTCTGTTTACGACAACAGGCAATATACCCTGTTGATAGTCTCACACGAAATTTTATAACCTGTTTAGGACAGAGAGGTAAAAAAACCATACTGGCACATCCCCTTATAGACCAGAAATAGGAGTTTCCCCAGGGTTCATCAATCTGCAATTCCGCTCTTGATCAAGTGATCCATGATATTTTTCATCGTTTTATTAATCAGAAGGGTGTAATAATATTTGACCCCAAGGGTACTCCTGGGAATTCTTCGTTGGTGAGTGCCATCCAGTTCTCCAAATCCTGACCCTATTTCAGACAAAAAATGTCATTTCTCACACCTGTTTTCATACCTGCAAACCTCTAAAATCCATAACCATTTTCAGACCTGGTTTTAAGTCGTCATTACTCAGATTAGAACACCACCAAATTTCTTAAAATCCATTTCAATTTTGCATATTTCTCTTTCTTTCTCATTTGGAAGAAATGATAAACACATTCATACACTCCCAATTTCCTCAAAACCCACAGAATTCCAAAACCCGATTCTGAGATCGGCGAACCCTAAAAGATAGATCTAAACTTTTCTTCAATAACTAATACTTACCTTTGATGTATTTCAATGTGCTTTGTTTGGGTTTCATCGCATCAGCAGATTTTTAGACTTAATAATTTTTTAATAATAATTTTTTAGACTGTAATAATTATTACCCTCCAAAGATGAAGTTGAGACTATCTTAATGGTCGATCATAGCCATCTGGCAGGGTCCTGGGCCCCATTTCTTGAAAGTCCTGATAATTAACGGGCCCGGTAAGGTGTTGCCGTTTACATTAAAGATCGTGGTTTTAATAGTTTTGCATCTAACATAATGAAACTATCCGTTAACGAAACAAAATGGAGTAGTTTTGCTAGCCAGGACCCAGACTCTTACTCTTTAAATGTTGATTTGAATATTTGATTTTGGGCGCAAAAAGTTACCGGGACTTTCGAGAAATGGGCACCTGGACGAGTCAAGATAAAAGTGTTTCTCAGAAATTCCTATGGTTGTATAAATTCACTGTCACACTTCTGGTTAAAAATTATGTTAACTTTAGAATACTTGCTTAATTACATGAATGCTTGCCAATTTTATTGAGATGACATAATTGATAATGTCTTGAATATTTAGTTGTCCCACCTTGATGTGTTAAGGTGTAATTACATGACTATTTTCTCTAGTTAAAATATGGCCTAGTAACAGTAAAACAATACTATATTATCTTTTGGCCAAGACAGAAGTTTATTTTTTCAACTGAAAACACAAGAAAAGGTAACAACACGACAGAAACAAAAACTAAACATAGAAAATGATACTTTTGCTGATACACAAGAACTGATCAAAAGTGAAAACGAAATCTTATACTAACCTTAAGTAACCTGTGGACAGGTGGTGTGTCATGTGGTCCTTTGAGGCAAAATCCTGAAAGGGGAAGATTTGCTTGCTGCTCATCTTAATTACGACCTGTAAACTCAGTTTTGAGACATAAATGTAGTAAAAGTAATGGTTCAAGTTCATGGCTTTTATCGATATACCACATTTCATCATAATAATACTTCATAGTAATGATTATAATAATAATTATTATACATTGTACTCATTATCTGCCTTCCTATTGGTTAAGAGCCGCTACAGCTAATTTTGGAAACTTACAGATTGGTTATCTGCTAGTAGATAACTGACTAATCTTTAGGTTGCGCAGGCAATGCCTGATTTCCAAGAACAATTATATCAATTCAAGTTCCTTGCAATGATGTGTTTGTCAATATTTTCTTGCAATGTTTAATAAAACTCAGTAATTTATTAGGTTTGGTTTTTGTGATATCCTAAAATCGTCAAGGTCTCGGTAAGTGTTATCAGCCTCAGCCTTCAGCTCGGCTTTTAACACTTTCCTTGACCTTGATTATTCCGGATATCACAAAAGCTCTGCCTCCAAGAATTGTTTATTATTGTTATCATTATCAAAATCATCATTATTATTGGTATTGTTATAATTCATGGTTTTAACATGGCCAGGGAAAGGGTTATTGAGGGTAGATAGTGATGTCAAGCTACCCATGGGATAAGCCAGTGTCACGTATACATGCTCATAGAGGGACGAGTAGAGAAAATGGTGCCTGTTTTTTTCAATAATAAAATTGTTAATTTGCTTACCTTATTGGTCATTGGTGCCAGTACATTTTGCCCCCAAACCTGTGGGGTTTGGGCAAGATCAGGTCAAATTTGTTCTCAGGTTAAAAATCTTTAACCTAGTTTGATTCTTGAGTTCCTTTGTCTACTAGGGCTTAGAGGACAAAGGCAATTGAGAATCAACCTAGGTTAACTCAAAATTAACCTGAGATCAAATTTGGCTTGTAAAAGGTATGTATTTTGAATCCCTGGAGAACTCCTCTTGGTCCAGTAAGCCCCAGAAAAATTTTCACTTACATGCATATAGCCCAAGAAAAGCGTGGTTATTGTTGTGTGTTGAGCCATGTAGCCTGAAGGTTAAGGCAAGCATATTTTTCACTGTAGCTATACTGAGAAGGAAGTTTTGCATAACTCTGTCATAGAGGTTGGCTTGGTTAAAGTCAGTCAATTAAGAAAAAACTCCTTCAAGGTTAAGGAAGTTTAGGATTAAGGCTAATTATTTTATAATTATATTATACTGTTTATCATATATCATTATAATCAGTCGTTATTCACCCAATTGTTCTTCCCATTACAAAACCAATGGTCATCTAATTGCCCATGCATGCAACTATAAAGGCTTTATGAGTAAATAATTCTCACCACTTAGAATGACAATCAGGCTTCATTCCGTTCAAAAGGTAAAGTCTTCGAATTGAAATAGAAAGGGCGTAATGTCCGACAGATCATCATAATTCATGCGGACCAGAAAAGCTTTCGGGCATACATCATATTGACTTTCTATATCTTTCTTTAGCTTCAAAATGATAATCTTTGGTATTTTGTTTGTTTGTTCATCGTAGACCGACCGCGGGTAGAATTCGTCAGACGTAGGGCATATTTGTAAGTCAGAGACTGTGTAATGACTGACCGTTCTACTGTTATTTTCAGCTCTTTGAGGTGGACAATGATTTTCACTGCATCCGTATTTTCCGTACAGCTATAAACATTCTATTTTTAGCTTTACCTTTTGACTCTTATATTCGCCATTTTAACTTTTTAACAGTTTCACGAGAACGGAAACTCCCCGAGATGAGCTAGTGGAAGTTCCAAAAGAATACAAAGGCTTAGTGTTCGGCAAAGGGTGCAAAAATCTAATGGATATCAGTAACAATACAGGAGCAAAAGTAATTCGTAGAAACGGAGAAGTCTTCATTACTAAAGGTACAGAGGAAGCAAGGGAGCAGGCAAGAATAGAAATCAAAGCAAAAGCTGTAAGTAAATGAATAAGCTGAATGTAGTAAATGAATATAGCGGAATTTCCGCCTCCGCGAAGCCTCCATTGTTATCGATGCAAGAAGATTTTCTTTTAACGTCAGCGTACACTGGTCCGCCCCCCACCCCTGCCCTTACAAACTCTGGGGGTGGGGGAGAGAAGACTAAGTTAGGGACGGGAGGAGAGTCCCAGATATCCACCTTGCGTTTGTCCAAAGTTAGCCAATCTATAGGAAACCTTCTGCTTAAGCCTGTTTTTGACCTACGAAGAAAACTTTTAAAAATAAATTTGAAAGGCTTTGCCTTAGCTTGGTTTTGCTTTCTGGTCACGCACCAGGACCAATCTAGTCTCAGACTGGTCAAAATCGTGACAGGTGAATTCATGCATAGAAACTTACCCAACATCTGGAAATGAGAGACTTTAAGCATGAACTTCGGAAACATCTAGTACGTTGACTGGAAGTAATTTTTTTCCCCACTAGGCGTCAATGCCTTAAGTAGCGAGTTTAAAGGAGCTGTGTATCGAAATTTCTCAAACTTCACATGGTGAGAAACACAAACATAACTGCTCAAAACATAAAAAGAAGTTATAAATACCCCGTAAGATACAACAGTAGGCATGGATGGACAAATTTTAAGACTTTAAGATTTTTAACGGATTTGGAATTGCGAAGCATATCTGTCTTCGAATTAAGCTCATTATGTCTTAAACTATCCGTGGATTCATCCATCTATCCTTTCAACCATCCTTGTAATTGTTTATGTCATTATTCATTCATTCCCTCGTATCATTCAGAATACTCGCTTTACTGGTGACAGTTAAAAATGGACTGATGGAAAACCGTGACTGGAGCACCGTTCAAATCTAGCTATAAGCTTTAACTTTAACATTACTGGAAAGTCATATAAATATCTGTTACACTCATGAGGGCATCGTTTATTGCTAGGCTGGAGCGAGACTCAGAGGTCCAGGAAGCAAATTCAGTAAGTTCGCTGTCTACATCGATGGCCTGAATCTCCCAGAGAACTGTAAACTAAAACTGGAGCAAGTGAGTCAGGAAGATCGTGTTGTTATCCCGGAATCGTATACACAATACCGCCTGAAACCGGTTAAGGAGTTAATGCAACAGGTATGCCTTTTTTCCTTCTTATATAAAGTGATGGAGCTCTGTCGGTAACCAAGATGGAATCGAAGAACAATAAACTTCTAAGAATTTAAGCTGATAGGCCAATCAAATTAAGCAGCATAAAGACAAATACTATCATTAGTATTTTTTTTTTAATACAACAGATAATAATAAGGCTAAGACGAAAGATAACACGAAACGGTTTTACAGGTAACTAGACCATGAAATTCTCGGAAAGTAGGCATGTAAACCTTACGGAGTCTTCTGTCCCGGATAATTCATTGCCCCTGCGTAGATTGAATGAACACATTATCATTAAATTTAAAGTTATGTTTGGTAAACGAAAAATACTTGTTGTTCAACACGTCAGTGCAAATCTAGTATTAGATAATTATTGAGCACGTGATGTTGGACAATTCAAGGTGTTGCACGTTCAGATTAAACCGTGAGAAGTTTTTGGTAGTGTAGAAGGTGCATGGAAGGTCTCTCCTAATTGGTTGCAGGAAACAATAACATGCCATTCTTTCAATATGCCACTTGCACTAAGAGGTCACATGACCAATGCTTCCTTTAAACAACGAGTTGGAGTCTTGCTGATGCCAAAAATTGACAGAGCAGATAAAAATTATTTTACTGCCGAAATTTGAGAGGAAACGCGTTTATGAGAGACATTTTATGGCACTTTGATTTTTCAACAAAGTAGTATGATTTGTATTGGCCGCTGTATTAGAGGGCATACTCTTGCCCTCCAACATGGCGGCCAAAACTACTTTTTGCTTATATCTTGTTAAACGTTTGATAATTACGCTCAGATGTGCTGTAAACGTTACCACATCATCTTTGTAACATTTTCCTCGAAGTTTAAGTGCCAAAGTTGTGTTAATAAGGTAATTCATAATTTTAAAAATCACATTTTCGTCACGTGATCAGCTACGAACTTACTCATTTTAAGAAAATGGTGTGGGTTTGAAAAACCAAATCACTATTACTATGTTTAAGATATGACCCACTAATCGTTTTTTGAAGGTAAAATCATACAACTTTCATTTTCATAAAAACGATGTCACATGATCTCTTAGTGCAAATGGCCTACTGTTTTAGTATTGTTTGGGGTTAGGGTTAGGCACCATTGGTGACTTCTCTTCCGAGCAGCTGCCAAATGGCGCGAATTTTTAATTTTTAAAAAGGAACACAAATGTTTTCTCTTTACTCAACGATAAAGTGTTCAATACCTTTATTGATTCCTGGTTTTTTTTAAAATAATTTTTAATGCTGTCGGGGCCTTAGTCACGGAAATACCCAACACAAGACGCAGTGACTAATTAAGTGACCTGAAAATCATTATTAGTTGTTTTAATATGTTAGTTGTTTATAGTTGTCTGTTTTACTCACGTCTATCAGGGAATTAGTTCTCCAACTGATCAACCAATCTACCTGTCAAAGCTTGTGAGCGACGCTTTGGAATCTCTTCGAAGGATAAAACAAGAAATGACGACAAAAGAGAACCTGAAAGCCGATATGTGGTGTCATTTTGGACAAGCCGTCATCCGAGGACCTGACCAAGGTAATGCTCAAATTTTGTTTAACCAATACACTTAGAAAAGTTAATATCGCATGTGAATCGTGTAATCCTTTGTCTGGCCCATCGGGTGAAAATTGTCTCTAGTACTTTAGCTTGTCAGTCTGTTGTTCGTTAGCTTATATTGATTGTTGCTACACTAAGAGAGGAATTGAAGAGAGCCTAGGTTTATACTGTTGCCTTGTGAGCTAATTTTACGTTTTGCTTTATCCTTATTAATTTCTATGCCCCCATCTCCTTCAAGCCCTTAAGTGCCTCGTATTTTCGTGTAGTGTACGTGTGGGGGTGGGGAAGGGGTGGTAAGGGGCTCATAAGCCGGGGGACGGATCATGTTAATAACAAATAACCTCCGCCAGCTCTGATGTTTGCATGTTATGACTTGCTTTTTTGTATCTTACATGATGTAATAAAATGTATGCAGAAGAAGCTGATCGAGGAAGGTGGAGTATTGATGAGGCAACGAACAAGTTTAACTCACCACTTGAAGGAAACTACTGGAAAATAGTATTGAAGCCAGGAGTGAAACTAGATGGAAAAGTTCTGGAAAGACATATCTGCGATTCAAATCCAGATGAGTACGTCGATTATGTTGCAAGATATGAGTTAGAATTTTTAACGCCCTGCTGTTATCAAGTAATGTGCAAGGTGAGGTTCAAAATTCATTTCGTCAACTATATTTCGCTATATTTGCTAATACTCTATCCTTTCTATCATAACTGTGCCAATTTGTAACTCGAACAAAAGAGGCAGGGTTTTTGGCCCAGATACCAAAACCCCCAGGAGGCATCGTAAGCGTAAAAGAACTAACTGTTGGAATATACAATTTCTATGTCAGAAAAGTTTTCTATGTTGTCTGGAGAAAGGAATGGGCTAGTTTGACGTTTCATCAATGAAATAGCTAATGCCATAGTCGAACGGTGAACAGAATAAATGGGAAATGATGACGGAGCACCATGCAATGATGATTTATCAGCAAATAGCTACAGGAGTCAGGATATTGACATTATCTTATCTTGAAATAATTATAAAAACTAGGATTAATCGGAGCTTAAGAGAGTGCGTTCGATATGGTTGCTAGGCTACAGATAACAGTTGAGGGGAAAGGGTGGATGGTTCTTGCGATAGATAACGAATTGGAGCGATTTTGGTTCCGCGAAAGGTATCATGGGGAAGGCGAAGGTATCATTTAGGTATCATACATCAACACTAAACGTTCCCATGGGCCATTGCGTGATACCCCTAGATCGATCGCAGACGCCTAACACTTGAGACGCCTAGGAACGAGGCAGAAGCCTTACCTAGTTTTTCGGGGGGGGTGGTCTACTTCTCTCGTCAATAACGGAACTGGAAAACGAGCACGATTTCGCGCGTCTTGTGTAGAATGAATTTCATATTCATTTAATTTTTACTTCGGAGTGTTGAAGGGCTAGAGCCGATTGAACCTCCAGAAGGTACAAAGGGACATACGAGAGCACCGTGTGACAAGATTTCTGTAAGCGGTAATTGTTTAATTTTAAGCTTTCTATTTTTCGTTCTAATCGCTCAGGTGTGGGTTACAAAAAAGAACGTCGGCAAAAAACTGGAAGATATACCAGCTCCTTTTAGTGACGTCAAGAATATTTTGAAAGAGATAGAGTTCAAAGATGAAGCCACACGTTCACGATGCAGGGATGGCTGGTTCTACCATCTCGGAAGTACCTGCAAGCAAACATTTTGTTTCCTGGCTGCGCATTTGATTGTAGGCTCCATGTTCGTGGAAGGATTGGTACGATTTTCTGTTATGAATACGTTAGTGGAAGCATCACATTACATGCACGTATAGCCCAGTGTCAATATTCGACCGTTATGACTATTTGTCTATTGGTCTATTTAGATTTTAGTATTACACCTTTGTGTACTGTTTTAAGCTTTAACTAAGTATCAATCGAATAATGAACCTCCTATTTGATGTTTTTAAGATAATACCCGCGGACATATACAAAATTATCCGAAGCGTTATTAAAATTCCATACGTGAGTGTCGCTGTTATTCTTGGTAAGACTTTGCCTTGGTTCACCCAGTCATGCTAACTAACGATTTGTGGGGGTCCACTAAACAAGCAGCGACACAGCATAACAGTCGAAGCACAATACAACGTACAGCCAACAACGTTGAATCTCCAAAGATGTGCTTACATCCCAGGTATTTAAGTATTCAATCAATTTACACTTCATGTACGATGGCATAATACGTCACATTCCGCGCCACCCCCCGCCCCCCTCACAAAAAAAAGAAATGAACGGATACTTTAAAAAAAGAAAGTAAACACTTCTACAGTGCAAAGTTCAAAAGACTTCCGGTCATTTCTGATTCAAAAGTAAGTTGGAGGATTCTCTTTTAAAAAGCTTTGAATCACCTAAATTTACAGTTATTGACACTTCTGCAAGAGCAAGTGAAGGCCATTAGAAACGTTGTAGAAAATCAGAAATGACCGGAAGTCCTAAAGTCTAGGACTTCAAATCCTGTTTCCCCAGAGCCTCCTGGTCCTCGTGCTCAGGCCCCCAGGAGGCTCTGGGGACGAGAATGTGATCACTCGACCGCTTCTCGTAGTAACAACTGTAGGCACTGGTGACACTTGGTCACTGTCTGGTACCGGCTGGGCAACGGTGGACCTTCCGAAATCTCCACATCAGGAGGAACAGGCAACGGAGATCGTGGAAGTTCAGCAACTGTGACAGGCGGGCAATGTTGTAGGTTAGTCGAAAGCTCCGGGAATGGGGCTTCAATGAATGGTTCTCTGGTAAGTCTGAGGTGCCTCCTATTTCTCGTGTAGGTATGGCCATCCTCCGTTCGGACCTTGTGAGACCTGATGTCAACCTCCTTCTCCACAGTGGCTTTTGTCCATCTCTAAGAATCTACGTCTGGTTTGATGCGTACTACATCTCCAGGTTCCAGTCTTGTCAACTCTTTTGCACCCTGTTGTACTAGCGGGTCTATGTAGCTTTCCTCACCTTACGCTTGTGTGGGGCACCGTGGATTGTCTCAGGAACAAGTAACCTTGCAGATGTTGGCAACAGTGTCCTAGTCCTCCGTCCAAAGAGACGTTGTGAAGGAGAACTTCAAATTCCTTCAGTTGGAGTGTTACGGTAATCCAAAAGTGACAAATTTGGGTCGGTTCCTGTATCACGTCCCTTTTGCATGATGTTTTTGGGCAATTTTAACAGCATTCTCTACCTTCCCCTTAGACTTCGGGAAACGAGGAGAGCTGGTCAGGTGCTCAAATTCATAAGCTAACGCAAATTCCTGGAAGTCCTTCGAATTAAAAGGGGGCCAATTGTCACTAAACAATTGAACAGGTATCCCATGTCGAGCAAACTGGGACCTAAGCTTGGAGATCACTTCCGTGCTTTTCTTGTCATAAATTCTGTCAACTTCAAAGGAGTCGGAGTAGTAGTCCACACAAACCAAATAATGCTTGCTCTCAAAGTCAAACAGGTCACAGGCTACCTTCTCCCTGGTCTTGATGGGATTTCATGGCTTATAATCGGCTCTTTCTGCTGATCAGGCTGATAGCTCTTGTATACAGTACAACTCGAAATAGAATCTTCAATGTCCTTACTCATTCTAGGCCAGTAAACAATTTCTCAGCCTCTTCTGACGCAACTCTGTATCCCTTAATGGCTCTGGTGCACTTTCTGCTTGAACTCCTCTCTTATACTCGGTGGAATCACTAACCTCTCACCTTTGAAAACCGAACCATCTTGCACGGACAGTACGTCAAAGCTCAGTGAATTAATGCTTTCAACCGCTTGCTCCAGCAGAGATCTAGCATCTGCTGCAAAAGGACACCTGCGTCAGCACCTTTGACCTATGTCCTAGGTACATAGGCTGTACTGAGGGTATCTGCAGCATGGAGAAGCGTGCCCTTTTTATACTCGAATTCGAAGTCAAAGTTCTGCAAGCGCAACATCATCCTTTGAAGACGTCTTGGCGCACTTAACAAACTCTTCTTGAGTATTGATTCCAGTGGCTTATGGCTTAAATCTCTTACCATAAACATAACTCTCAAACTTCTCAACCCCAAATACTCTAGCTAAAAGCTCCTTCTCAATCTGTACATACTTAGACTCTGCGGGTGTCGGAGAACGCGAAGCATAGGCCAAAGGCTGCCCATTCTGCATAAGACATGCACCCAAACCATGCTGAGAAACATCACATTGTACCACTACTTCCACACTTGTTTCAAAGAACTTAAGAACAGGTGCAGAAGCTATCACTGCTTTCATGCGCTTGAAGCGCTCTCCATGGACAACTTCATCCCTTGCCCTCCAACATGGCGGCCAAAACTACTTTTTGCTTATATCTTGTTAAACGTTTGATAATTACGCTCAGATGTGCTGTAAACGTTACCACATCATCTTTGTAACATTTTCCTCGAAGTTTAAGTGCCAAAGTTGTGTTAATAAGGTAATTCATAATTTTAAAAATCACATTTTCGTCACGTGATCAGCTACGAACTTACTCATTTTAAGAAAATGGTGTGGGTTTGAAAAACCAAATCACTATTACTATGTTTAAGATATGACCCACTAATCGTTTTTTGAAGGTAAAATCATACAACTTTCATTTTCATAAAAACGATGTCACATGATCTCTTAGTGCAAATGGCCTACTGTTTTAGTATTGTTTGGGGTTAGGGTTAGGCACCATTGGTGACTTCTCTTCCGAGCAGCTGCCAAATGGCGCGAATTTTTAATTTTTTAAAAAAGGAACACAAATGTTTTCTCTTTACTCAACGATAAAGTGTTCAATACCTTTATTGATTCCTGGTTTTTTAAAATAATTTTTTAATGCTGTCGGGGCCTTAGTCACGGAAATACCCAACACAAGACGCAGTGACTAATTAAGTGACCTGAAAATCATTATTAGTTGTTTTAATATGTTAGTTGTTTATAGTTGTCTGTTTTACTCACGTCTATCAGGGAATTAGTTCTCCAACTGATCAACCAATCTACCTGTCAAAGCTTGTGAGCGACGCTTTGGAATCTCTTCGAAGGATAAAACAAGAAATGACGACAAAAGAGAACCTGAAAGCCGATATGTGGTGTCATTTTGGACAAGCCGTCATCCGAGGACCTGACCAAGGTAATGCTCAAATTTTGTTTAACCAATACACTTAGAAAAGTTAATATCGCATGTGAATCGTGTAATCCTTTGTCTGGCCCATCGGGTGAAAATTGTCTCTAGTACTTTAGCTTGTCAGTCTGTTGTTCGTTAGCTTATATTGATTGTTGCTACACTAAGAGAGGAATTGAAGAGAGCCTAGGTTTATACTGTTGCCTTGTGAGCTAATTTTACGTTTTGCTTTATCCTTATTAATTTCTATGCCCCCATCTCCTTCAAGCCCTTAAGTGCCTCGTATTTTCGTGTAGTGTACGTGTGGGGGTGGGAAGGGGTGGTAAGGGGCTCATAAGCCGGGGACGGATCATGTTAATAACAAATAACCTCCGCCAGCTCTGATGTTTGCATGTTATGACTTGCTTTTTTTTGTATCTTACATGATGTAATAAAATGTATGCAGAAGAAGCTGATCGAGGAAGGTGGAGTATTGATGAGGCAACGAACAAGTTTAACTCACCACTTGAAGGAAACTACTGGAAAATAGTATTGAAGCCAGGAGTGAAACTAGATGGAAAAGTTCTGGAAAGACATATCTGCGATTCAAATCCAGATGAGTACGTCGATTATGTTGCAAGATATGAGTTAGAATTTTTAACGCCCTGCTGTTATCAAGTAATGTGCAAGGTGAGGTTCAAAATTCATTTCGTCAACTATATTTCGCTATATTTGCTAATACTCTATCCTTTCTATCATAACTGTGCCAATTTGTAACTCGAACAAAAGAGGCAGGGTTTTTGGCCCAGATACCAAAACCCCAGGAGGCATCGTAAGCGTAAAAGAACTAACTGTTGGAATATACAATTTCTATGTCAGAAAAGTTTTTCTATGTTGTCTGGAGAAAGGAATGGGCTAGTTTGACGTTTCATCAATGAAATAGCTAATGCCATAGTCGAACGGTGAACAGAATAAATGGGAAATGATGACGGAGCACCATGCAATGATGATTTATCAGCAAATAGCTACAGGAGTCAGGATATTGACATTATCTTATCTTGAAATAATTATAAAAACTAGGATTAATCGGAGCTTAAGAGAGTGCGTTCGATATGGTTGCTAGGCTACAGATAACAGTTGAGGGGAAAGGGTGGATGGTTCTTGCGATAGATAACGAATTGGAGCGATTTTGGTTCCGCGAAAGGTATCATGGGGAAGGCGAAGGTATCATTTAGGTATCATACATCAACACTAAACGTTCCCATGGGCCATTGCGTGATACCCCTAGATCGATCGCAGACGCCTAACACTTGAGACGCCTAGGAACGAGGCAGAAGCCTTACCTAGTTTTTCGGGGGGGGTGGTCTACTTCTCTCGTCAATAACGGAACTGGAAAACGAGCACGATTTCGCGCGTCTTGTGTAGAATGAATTTCATATTCATTTAATTTTTACTTCGGAGTGTTGAAGGGCTAGAGCCGATTGAACCTCCAGAAGGTACAAAGGGACATACGAGAGCACCGTGTGACAAGATTTCTGTAAGCGGTAATTGTTTAATTTTAAGCTTTCTATTTTTCGTTCTAATCGCTCAGGTGTGGGTTACAAAAAAGAACGTCGGCAAAAAACTGGAAGATATACCAGCTCCTTTTAGTGACGTCAAGAATATTTTGAAAGAGATAGAGTTCAAAGATGAAGCCACACGTTCACGATGCAGGGGATGGCTGGTTCTACCATCTCGGAAGTACCTGCAAGCAAACATTTTGTTTCCTGGCTGCGCATTTGATTGTAGGCTCCATGTTCGTGGAAGGATTGGTACGATTTTCTGTTATGAATACGTTAGTGGAAGCATCACATTACATGCACGTATAGCCCAGTGTCAATATTCGACCGTTATGACTATTTGTCTATTGGTCTATTTAGATTTTAGTATTACACCTTTGTGTACTGTTTTAAGCTTTAACTAAGTATCAATCGAATAATGAACCTCCTATTTGATGTTTTTAAGATAATACCCGCGGACATATACAAAATTATCCGAAGCGTTATTAAAATTCCATACGTGAGTGTCGCTGTTATTCTTGGTAAGACTTTGCCTTGGTTCACCCAGTCATGCTAACTAACGATTTGTGGGGGTCCACTAAACAAGCAGCGACACAGCATAACAGTCGAAGCACAATACAACGTACAGCCAACAACGTTGAATCTCCAAAGATGTGCTTACATCCCAGGTATTTAAGTATTCAATCAATTTACACTTCATGTACGATGGCATAATACGTCACATTCCGCGCCACCCCCCGCCCCCCTCACAAAAAAAAGAAATGAACGGATACTTTAAAAAGAAAGTAAACACTTCTACAGTGCAAAGTTCAAAAGACTTCCGGTCATTTCTGATTCAAAAGTAAGTTGGAGGATTCTCTTTTAAAAAGCTTTGAATCACCTAAATTTACAGTTATTGACACTTCTGCAAGAGCAAGTGAAGGCCATTAGAAACGTTGTAGAAAATCAGAAATGACCGGAAGTCCTAAAGTCTAGGACTTCAAATCCTGTTTCCCCAGAGCCTCCTGGTCCTCGTGCTCAGGCCCCCAGGAGGCTCTGGGGACGAGAATGTGATCACTCGACCGCTTCTCGTAGTAACAACTGTAGGCACTGGTGACACTTGGTCACTGTCTGGTACCGGCTGGGCAACGGTGGACCTTCCGAAATCTCCACATCAGGAGGAACAGGCAACGGAGATCGTGGAAGTTCAGCAACTGTGACAGGCGGGCAATGTTGTAGGTTAGTCGAAAGCTCCGGGAATGGGGCTTCAATGAATGGTTCTCTGGTAAGTCTGAGGTGCCTCCTATTTCTCGTGTAGGTATGGCCATCCTCCGTTCGGACCTTGTGAGACCTGATGTCAACCTCCTTCTCCACAGTGGCTTTTGTCCATCTCTAAGAATCTACGTCTGGTTTGATGCGTACTACATCTCCAGGTTCCAGTCTTGTCAACTCTTTTGCACTCCTGTTGTACTAGCGGGTCTATGTAGCTTTCCTCACCTTACGCTTGTGTGGGGCACCGTGGATTGTCTCAGGAACAAGTAACCTTGCAGATGTTGGCAACAGTGTCCTAGTCCTCCGTCCAAAGAGACGTTGTGAAGGAGAACTTCAAATTCCTTCAGTTGGAGTGTTACGGTAATCCAAAAGTGACAAATTTGGGTCGGTTCCTGTATCACGTCCCTTTTGCATGATGTTTTTGGGCAATTTTAACAGCATTCTCTACCTTCCCCTTAGACTTCGGGAAACGAGGAGAGCTGGTCAGGTGCTCAAATTCATAAGCTAACGCAAATTCCTGGAAGTCCTTCGAATTAAAAGGGGGCCAATTGTCACTAAACAATTGAACAGGTATCCCATGTCGAGCAAACTGGGACCTAAGCTTGGAGATCACTTCCGTGCTTTTCTTGTCATAAATTCTGTCAACTTCAAAGGAGTCGGAGTAGTAGTCCACACAAACCAAATAATGCTTGCTCTCAAAGTCAAACAGGTCACAGGCTACCTTCTCCCTGGTCTTGATGGGATTTCATGGCTTATAATCGGCTCTTTCTGCTGATCAGGCTGATAGCTCTTGTATACAGTACAACTCGAAATAGAATCTTCAATGTCCTTACTCATTCTAGGCCAGTAAACAATTTCTCAGCCTCTTCTGACGCAACTCTGTATCCCTTAATGGCTCTGGTGCACTTTCTGCTTGAACTCCTCTCTTATACTCGGTGGAATCACTAACCTCTCACCTTTGAAAACCGAACCATCTTGCACGGACAGTACGTCAAAGCTCAGTGAATTAATGCTTTCAACCGCTTGCTCCAGCAGAGATCTAGCATCTGCTGCAAAAAGGACACCTGCGTCAGCACCTTTGACCTATGTCCTAGGTACATAGGCTGTACTGAGGGTATCTGCAGCATGGAGAAGCGTGCCCTTTTTATACTCGAATTCGAAGTCAAAGTTCTGCAAGCGCAACATCATCCTTTGAAGACGTCTTGGCGCACTTAACAAACTCTTCTTGAGTATTGATTCCAGTGGCTTATGGCTTAAATCTCTTACCATAAACATAACTCTCAAACTTCTCAACCCCAAATACTCTAGCTAAAAGCTCCTTCTCAATCTGTACATACTTAGACTCTGCGGGTGTCGGAGAACGCGAAGCATAGGCCAAAGGCTGCCCATTCTGCATAAGACATGCACCCAAACCATGCTGAGAAACATCACATTGTACCACTACTTCCACACTTGTTTCAAAGAACTTAAGAACAGGTGCAGAAGCTATCACTGCTTTCATGCGCTTGAAGCGCTCTCCATGGACAACTTCATCCCAGACAAACTCAACATCCTCTTTTAACAAGTCTCTCATAGGTTTAGTAACCTCAGATAAGCCAGATGTAAATTTCTGCAAGTAATTTACCATTCGCAACCCTTGGTTGTCCGTTGGCGTAGGCATACGCAGTATTGCCTCTACCTTGGCTGGGTCCGGTTTCAACCCCTCAGCAGAAATGATGTGACCAACATACGACAGTTAATAAAGTTTGAACTTGAGCTTATCCTTGTTCAATTTGATGTTCTTCGGAAGACAACTGTCAAGCAGATTCAGGAACTTAGAGTCATGGCCTTGCAATGCAGCCTGATTAGTGTAACCAACACCAAACACAATGATGTCATCTGCAACAGCTTTAACTCCATCAAGCCCTTCGATGGCTTCATAAAGCTAACTCTGAAATTCTTCTGGAACCGGTGCTATGCCAAAGGGCATTGCTAATCATCGAAAACGGCCCCAGGGTGTACGAAAGGTTGTTAAGTTACTGCCCTCATCTAAAGGCACATGCCAAAAACCATTCTTGACATCGACCACAGAAAAGACTCGTGCCTTAGACAATTCAGATAGCAGATCATCAATAGTTGGCAGCGGATAATGGTTCCTCTTTCAATCCTTATTCAGAGGCTTTGGATCAAGACAAACACGTAATTTGCCATTTGGTTTCATTACCCGTAGATGAAATCCATTCAGTTGGTTCTAAAACTGGAGAAATAATTCCCCTGCTAACCAGTCTCTCAAGCTCCATTTTGTACTTCTCCCTCAGTGCAACAGGTGGTTTACGAACAGGCATCTGTACAGGTGTTACGTTCTGATCCACATGAAGATGTAGCCTGTCTTCCAACTTCCCTTCACCCTCAAAGACATGTTTGTATTGCTCAACAACCTGTGTGGACGAAAGACCATCAGCTAGAGCCATCAACAGTGAGAATGTTTTGTGTGTTCACAGTGATGAGTTGCATTCCTTGTATAGCAGAAAATTGCAGGAGAAGCTTCTAATTCTTTGAGCTCAAGATCGTCACAAACCCTTTTATAATCCTTTATAACCCTTTA